GTACAGTTTACATTCAACGACGTGATTCACAGAAAAAAGTATGGCATAACAATGGGATCCCCTCGTCATCCATTGCTAGCAGATTGCTTCATGGCCAGTCTACAAAACAATCAACTTAAAACGACTATAGAAAAGTTCCACTTGTATAAAAGGTACGTAGATGATATCTTTATCATTTGTGACAATAAATCTTAATTGAGTCATCTTCTAAAGACATATAATAACTGTTATCCAGCATAAATTTTACACTTGAGGTTGAGAACAAACAAAATATTAATTTAGACCTCTACTAGATTATTTTTGATGAAACTGGATCTATCTTTTGCAGTATTTGACTCTTAGTAGCTCTTTTAGACAATACGGCTTTTTCGAGGAAGAAAAAGAATTATCACGTTTAAGTTAGTCACATACGACAATGAAAAGGTGAGAGCTAATAAAGTTAACATATGCGTTTCATACTTGCTTTAATTTCTAAGATGATACATAACAGGAAATACACAGTGATAACAGCTGGAAAACTTAGTGCGGTTGAAATTGATTGGTGATAATTTAAAAGACAAATAAAATAGACAGGAACCTCCTGATAGACCACAAAGTCAAGAGTTCAAGCTTTACTCAAACTACTAAGTTTTTCGCAGCCATATATAATCCCCTGGTACCACTCAATATGTAGGGGTAACAAGTAAATAAGCGAATCTGTATTTGAAGGGGTTTTGTGGATATTATAGTAATTTTAATAGTTTATATCATGAAGCTGGACCGATAGGTACTGGGTTCTAATCTCGCGAGGCGGAATCGTGAATGCGCACTGCTGAGGAGTCCAAAACAGGAAGAAACGGCAGTCCAGTGATTCCAGGTTGTCCATGGTGGTCTAGTTTCAATTGACTCATGATCTAAACTATTAAAATTACTATAATATCCACAAAAACCCCTTCTGATATTAATCAGCATATGCCCACTGGTGACTGGCTTCAAGAAGTATTTCATGGAGTTCTAGTGAGAAGCAGTGACCAGTGTAGTTCAACCGAGTCTGTTGTAAGATAGTAACTCACTGAAGACAATGGTGGACGGATCGCTAAATTTCTTGGATTAGTTGAAGTTAGACATTGACACCGTTAGATGTCGGCTCAGTAATCTAGATGTTAAGCGTTCGAGCGCGAGACCGATAGGTCCTAGATTCGAATCATCACGGACGCGCACTGCTGAGGAGTCCCGAAATAGAACGAAACGGCCGTTCAGTGCATTCAGATTTCCGTGGTGCTCCAGCGTCAACTGAATCACGATCTCAACTATTAAAATCTGTATTTTATAATACAACTGCCACGTTTCAGGAAACGGGCTGACTGGATAGTAATATATGACTATGAATAACATTATATAAATATTTAAAAAATATGAGCAACAGATTGTCATCATAAAATGCTAATATTTCTAAATTACAAATCGGGATTTCGATTAGTCGTTTAACTTATACATTGCATAAGTAAACTAATTTAAGATCTTAGCTAAGCAAATTACACAGGTCTGTTACAGTCATCGTTATTAATATAATAAGAAACACATATTGTGTTTTTTATATAAATACCTATGCCACAGAACTGTTAACAAAGATGAACTACAAGAATGTTGATTACAAGTGTACAATAAGGACAAACAACAGAAATTATTCGTTCTTACAAATAATATGTTTCTGGTTGACAGTAAAGCCTAATTATTGAATAGAATAGAAGAGAAAAACTAAGTATTTAGTTTCTAGACAAAAACGTTTTTAGGTTATAGTCTCGCCATTACATTATGACAAAAAGCACGAATATCAGGAACGGTAATTAGCATCGGTATTAAATGAAGACTACTCACAAAGTAGGGTGTTTAAATAGATGGACGGAAAGTGCAATTTGGTAAATCAGTCTGGTTAGACAAAGCGAGTCTGTGATATTTGGGGTGGGTTACAGATGAGACTGGCTTTATTAAGAATGATTTAATTAGCTTTAATTAAATTTCAAAGGCGAAAGGAAAACATAGCAGAGCAAGATAATGTTTAAGTGAGAAAGCATTTCGGTGTCATAATTTACCTGGCAATGCGGATGCGTGTTAGACGAACCAACAGCTGCGCCTCGATTCTCAAAAATTTGCAGCCATTGAAATCTTTTCATTTTAAAATATTTTTCAGTAATACGGCACCATTCATTAATAACTGATAGTATTTCACGCTGTTCCATCAGCGCTAAGGTTTTATTAGAATCTGGATGAAAACAAGTAACTAAACAGTCACCTTGTGCAGGCGCACATGCAAATAATGGATTTTCTTCAACAGATCTGAAGCTCGTTAAACTAACACTCTCACATTCACAATTTACATTAACCTAAACAATATTAATTCACAATCAACAGAGAATAACAGTAGTAAGATTGGTTAAAGAACTAATTGAATTTAATGCAAATGAGTAACCAACAGCAAAGTTATGTATTGGGCTTGAAGCTAAGTTGATTATCTAAAGCTTTTAAGCACTAACCAGTTATTAAGTGAGTGAAGAAATGTTTAAACCTGTGATTCAATGACTGCTAATCAATTGCATAGATCAATATACCAATGTCGCAACACATAGAAGTAGTATAGTATCACTTATCAGTCGAGTAATTGTCTGATGACGTGTAATTATTAAGTCTAACAACGAGATCTTACAGATTATAGAATGATTGACCTATAAACTGATTTCCTTCAGTCGCATATGATAACCTATTATGTTTCTCTTGTGTTAATATCATGAAAAGATGCATGTCACTTAATTGCATAAAAATCTTTTCTCTTGGGTTGTGCTCCTATTTTTGATCTCAGATTATTTTGAGACATGCGTTATAATACATTTTCGCAAGCAGCCATCACATAGCTACATCGTATCATTCCACATCATCAATCATATGATCATTTCGCTTAAAAACATCGGTGTCATTGAGACTTTAGTGGATAATTATTCAGTTAGGTCAATAACATTTATTCATTTACTTATTTATTTATTTAAACATATAAATATCGGTACAAAGGGACACCGAATACATATGCACCACAAAAGTCACTTAAATTGTGTGTGGGCTGTAATACTGCCCGGGTTCCCAAACAAAAACAGGTGGTTTTCTTAGGGAGCCACACCTGGGGCCTTAGACCTAAGGGTCTAATCCACAAGGCAATGGAGCAACGTCAGGAGATGAAGTCCCATGGTAGCCAGTGACCAATGATTAGTTCATACACCATTTGTTCCCTCGAAATACTGGAGCCCATGTGCACCATTGGTTTGGAATCGGGGGTTTCCAACTCCCTTAGGTGGATCTTCCAATAAAATGTATGAAAGCAATTATTTATTTATTTATTTGAACACATGAATATTGGTACAAGAGAGTGCCAATATATATGCGCCACACATGAAAGCAATAAAATAGTGCATTGTAGAAACTCCAAGAATGGACCTAGTTTTATAATTAGTTCTTCAAAAAGACTGTACATGAACAACGTGTATATGCTTGAAAATATTCGGAATTGAAATGTAGTGTTTATCCGATCACTAAATTCAAAACAAACTTTTTAAAATCCATGTAGCCGGGTTTAAAATTAAGGTGATGAAATTTAAAACTGATAATAACCTAAAGTATTTAACCCTCGTGAGGATGCCAAATATACTGTATAAATGGCATAATCTTGCCTTTTGGCCATATTCAAATACCGCACAGAAACAGAACACAAAAAGTACATTTTATCGTTCTTAATTTAATCTACAATGGTTTGAATTATCCTGCTGTCGATGTTTTCACTGAAATTCGATCAGTCTAAATCGGCATATGCGCATCTTGTGCCAACTGTCACTATATAGCATTATGATACAATTTTATATAAAAAGATGGAACGTAGTAAGCACTGGGTTTGAGTCCCGGAATGGGTGTCAGTATTAGGATGTAGGTGCATTCAGCTGATAAGTCCAAATTAGGACGAAATGCAAGTCCTGGATTTCACTGCTAACCACATTTCATTAATTTTATATAAACTTATGTCATAATGACTATATCGAGGCGATACGTACAGGATGCACGCATGACAACCAAGACGGATGAAATCTCAACCAAAATATAAACTACATTCAATCCTGTTTGGTCGCCACCAAGGAAACATATCTCGGTTCACTTTCTTATTAAGACATAAGTTCAAAGTTGGTGTGTTATTCATAACACCTACAATATGTCTCATTTTACTTGCTTTCATAACAGCTTCTCTATGTTAAAATTGTTATTACCATCGACGTTGCGTCAGTTTGGCTGTTCGGTCTAGTAGTTAGGCAATTAGAACCGATGCATTATAGTACCATTTCCACGTAGATTTGATGTACCCATTTATTGACGTTAACTTAGTTACCTACCATTCTTAAGACTAATCAGTGTTTCTTTATGGTAGGAAGCACTATTAATCTGACTTATACAAACAGTTAATTGTTTGTAGGATCAGCATCCAAGGGTTTTTTGGTATGAGAAAAATTATACTTGGTAACTAATTAATCATCTACCCTTAACATTTATAAACTCTCTAGAATAAATAATCCTATCAATGTCCGATAGAGATGAAACACTTACCAAAGCAGGAAAGTCATTGTAAAATGTGTAAACAGATTGATAATTAGGTGTGATTAAGCCACTTGCACGAACGGACCCGGGTAATAATGGATTTTTGTTACATTTTACAGAAACGTCAGTTACTTCTGTGGGTTTACGATCATCAGATTCCATTTGTCCTTCCCAAGGACGTTGAATTCGATGTGGAGAAACAATAATCCATTCATCTAAAAGTGGGTTATAACGTCTATGACCAGAAGTCAGTAGATTAGTCATCTGAAATTGAGTGAACAATAGGTTAACTGAGGTTAGTTTACCACTGAAAGCAAAATAATGAAGAAAAATGAAGCAGAAAGATATACACTTTTATTTTTATTTGTACACATGTTAAGTATCACGGTTTTTTTTTAATTTTTTAGTGGTAACAAGTCAAATCCTTTGAGGGGTTCTTTACCTTCAAGTTCATGTAACCAATTAATATCTTCCTTCAATTGGTGATTTAATTTCTGGATTTCAGAATCATAAACTTCAATATCCTCCTCAATTGCTTTCCTTAATCCAACAGATGGAAACAGAAAGAACTGGTCAGATAAGCACGCCCACTGTTTATTTTCTGAATCCAATTGCATTAGCTTTCGCACAGCTTCACGTGATTTTTGCCGATTCCTGTCGTACACTATGCATTCTTGTTGCTTAGCTAATACCATTTCACCAGCTTCTTCTATTTCTTCTAAATGCTTGATCATTTTATTCTGAACCGAAAGATCCATTTTTATTATAACTGTCCTACAATAAAGTGAAATAAATCAATCAGTCAATCACAACGTACACCCGGAACGTATGTACATCAACCAGTAATCCCAAAGGACTAAAGCTTTGTCTAATATTATAGAGACCGGCAGAACCATTAATTTAAAGCAGAAGACCATTCACCATGAGCAAAACCAATTGCACAGAAACTTATTTCCAACGTAGTTCTCACTTTACTACACCAACTACATTGATAGATTATGATTCCTATGTATTGCACTGATCAAGTCAATCGCCACTAGAACTTTTGATTCATGCGTGCAACATCCAAAGCTTATTTAAATGGCTTTATATTGCACTAATGGTGGCTCCTGCATCATTCTTTTTCGAGACCTTAGCCCGAAAACTTACAATTTTGAGGTCATTTTTGCCAGCGTCTAACCGAATTTTTAGTTCTTTTTCGGCTCCTCGTCATTTTACACGGTCTGCGCGGGGAAATTCCTTACGGACACAAACTCATGACCGCTTTAGTTTATGTTCATCCTGTAGCACTAAGTACCGTTTATTGGGAGATTTGAATACTACTTTAAGAGGCCTGGTTTGATTCTGTTACCCAGTCTATATACCTTTAGCAAGGAGACTCCGAGATATCCTGAGGCATTAGCTAATTTAGCAGCCATTATATCAACCCAATGTCATGCTCATGCGCAACCATATATACTAAACCGTTTGAAGGCCGCAGACATTAGACTCATGCAAACCTCTTGGTACCATCCTTTGCATTCATCGCACTGTATGCCGTTCCCAACGGAGTATCGAGAACCTGAGCGTTGGCAACTGCTTTTCTTGCACCACCAAACAGAGATTTTTAAAAATAAACTAGATATAATAATACCCAAAAACAAAAGAAATTGATGACCAAAAATAGTGAACACTGAAAATTGTTAGAACCAAAACTGTTAACAAATACAATAGAAACAAAGTACTCAAAAGTACCGACGACAAACAACTTTAGAAAGAACGATAATTTTAAAGAATACTTCAACTGAAATAAATTTAATTGAAGTGTAGACAGCAGTCTTGATACATAATAAACGATCAAAACAATAAAATTTACTCGGTTAGGAAAAATACCAATGTCCTCTTTAAATACAGCTATTTGCAAGCAGTTATAGAATATTTAGACAAGGAGTATCCTAGTTAGTACCGGAAGTACGAGGCAATATACAATTTATTAGTGATTCGGATTGGAAGTCTGACCTTGTTCATCATTGAAGAAACTGACTTTATAACTGTTGAAGATTTGGTCGCAATAATTTCCTATCTCTTCATTTGCGTGTTGTGAGTGTACGCTGTCTACAATACAACCAAACTATACTCATCTTACATGTCAAAATTTGTTAGGCGCCTTCTGATGGTGATGCGAAACGAGTAGGGTTTGTTAGCATCTGCCGTCTAAATCATCCACATATATCGACCGAAAACTCAGGAAACTGTAAGCCTGACCACAAGCATTGGAAATTTCCTTGCTCACACAAATAAGCAGTCTTTAAAACTTCATGCCAATGTATTTACTGATATTTAGTTATTTTCGGAATTTAATACGATTTTCAACTTAATGCGTACAACGGCAGCTTCTCAATGGACAATTTCTCAAAAACCAAACGCAATGTTTGCACTTGAGAAGAAAGATGACATGCTCAAAATTGCTTATTTGACATTTTTAGGTTTTCAGACGCAACTAGACTACCTAATTATACATCCGTTTGGGCATCTGGGCAACCCTCACAAAAAGCATTCGATTTCTGTGGAACATCTATATTTGGTGCTCCCTTGTACCAATTTTTATGTGTTTGGGAAAATAAATAAAATAACCTAATTATCCAAAAACTACCAACTCTTGTAGGCCAACACACATTCAACAAACCATGAGTACTCTCAATACGAAATGCCCGCCTTGATTAGTGCCACTCAAGGTGATGGAAGTAGATTTGACCTGGGTGCAGCTTTTCATCACGAGAATGAGGACGTCAAGCCGTGGATTTCCGCGCACATGTTACATGTTGTAGAGGATATTCGATGTCATTATTTATCAGCAATTATCAGTATTTTTCCCATCAAACGTCAATTTTTCTAATGTTTATGCTTGTTACACAGCTTTTATTCTAGTTTATTAGTAGTTTGGATGTGTGATTCCTTGTGTGCGAGGCATTTTCTTCTTCATGATCAGTCGAGTATAAAGTGCAAAAATAGAACAGGCCTTGATAATACTTTTTGAAAGTTTTCTGTATGAAAACCTCTCCACTAATGCACTGTTGTAACCTGTTCAACTTGATTACTTCAGATGTATATTTCGCTGATCATTTGATCCTGTCTAAGATTATATTACTCATATGTTATTGAAGACACTTGTGCGCTATCCGACTACACGGGACAGTAGGAATTTAAAAAGACAAAAACGCTGGGGGACCCCACTAGGACATTCCATAATCTGAGAGAAAGTGAAGTTAACCCTGACCTTAAAATGTCGATTTCTTAGATTTCAAATAGGCCAGTAAATTAAGGGTGATTTGATATTTAATCGTTTGGGCTTATTGATAAGATATATGTGGTTGACCCTATCAAAATATTTTGAGAAGTCAAGGTAAATGATCTCAACCATCCCTTTGTGATCAAGAATGGTTGTCCATCCGTCCACTGCAGTCAGCAAGTTCACTATACAAGAATGACCCTTTCTGAAACCGTGCTGTTGGGGTTTATAAAAGTTTAAGGACAATAAACAGTCGTGTTTACCGTCGCATGACAGGGTCTCCATAATTTGTGAGGGTATAGAGAGAAGTGCCACAGGTTGGTAGCTTGAAGGTTCACTGCGTCCATCTCCTCTGAAACGTGGTGTGATGTGTGCCTGCTTCAAAATTTCTCATAGTGTACCGTGGCTTAGAGAGTGTGAGAACACCATGCTAAGCGGCGTTGTCAGAATTGAAGCTTCTCCCCTCGGTATAGCAGAATGAAACATATCCGAACCAGGATAAATGTCTTTTCTTGGGTGCCGCTGTTTCCGCTACACCAAGTCAACGCTCAGGTTCACTTCGGAAAGTCAGGTGCGGTTGCAGATGAAGCTTTCATCAACATAGTTAATATGGATCGGTTGAACTGTTCGAGAGTATTGTCCTGGCAGAAGGTTAGCGGCGTTACCGTCGTTATTGGTCGGACCATAAGGACTTAGTAATTGGGGAACTCCAGTTTTGGATTGTAGAAGAGAAGCTGCATAATGGAATAAGCTTTTCGGATTGGAGACAAATTTTTCGATAAGCTTTATCTAATATGAAGCCTGTTTTCTCTTATTGCATTTGTGCATATGTTTCTTATATGTTTGCATTGCATGTATGCGCCGTTAATACCAGTTCGTTTGTATTCCACTCAGCAGTGTCTTTATCGGCCTATCAAACGAAGAGTGCGGTTCTTGATAACTGTAGGTTGCTTGTATAATTCGGGGACCGTTTGAGGAACATACAATATTGTAGCACATGAGATCGTGTACAGTTGTTGGGATGTCTTAACTCAGTTTTGCTGATAAAACTAAAGGCTATGATGGCATGATCGCTTTACCTCAGGTGAGCCAGGATTGAAAGGTTGCCAACTAGGAATTCTTCGTTTGTAAATACATGGTCTCAGCGCGACAGCTCTGACTGTTTTTCCCACGAGTTGCCCACTGCACATTCTCCAGTAATCCCAGATCCTCAATGAGGTTGAAGAACCGAGCTTCAGTACAGTTTTCATCTCCAATGAACGTATGTCCCGCGAAATCGAATTTAGGAAAACGAAGTCCCTAGAATCGAGACATGGGTGAATCCGAGACGAGTAGAGCGGGATAATCCTTCCAGCACAAGATTGCCATACTCAATGTCAGCAGTGAGCTTCCTGTCGATGACTCCAACTAGACACCTCGAGGTGGTAAACAATCTTACTGAGCACCATATGCATTCATCAAGATCGATAAACTCTTGGTTGTGCACTTGATGTTCCTGCAAGCAGAATCGTAAGTATAAATCTGCTCCGACCCTAATTCCTGATTTTCTGTCATTGCCAAACAAAGACATCCCGGGTATTACTAGCTCCCGGTCCGTAAACTGAGAAGATATCCAAGTTTCAGACATGCCTATCAGATGAGCATTATTAGCGTTGTTGAGTTCACGTAGCTCATCCATTTTATTCGGTAAACTGGCGGCGTTCATGTAGAAGCAGTTCATGCTTTCAATTTGAAACGCATGAGCTTGCCCTTCCTGTTTGTCTGTATGAGTCTTACGTGAATGGACAGGTAGCCTTACTATACAATGTTTTTCGAGCTCATAACTTATGTCCTTTACATGTTTTTCTATGATGGAGGCAGTCCATAAGTGGAATGGTCAGCTCCAACTTGCCTTAGTGCTTGATCCTGGCATCATGTGGCCTATCTAAATGAATGCGGATTCCAGATGGCAACCGGCATCTGTGGACCCGACATGCTTCCAGAGTTGCAGCCGTCAATGGGAGGAATGGAAGGTTATCTTCATCAGCCGGAGTCCCGAATCTCCATTCTCCTTGGCTAGTCTCACCACTTGTTGATTCAATATGATTTTGAGCTTCAGGGACTGCATGATGAATTTCCATTCCCTTATATCAGAGTTTGTGTGATTAGGGTCCGTCTCTACAGGTGCATTTCGCACAATGATATTTCTTCCACAAAAGAGTTTTTCGTGAGATTTATCAGAGATTGAGCTCAGAATATGGTTTGTCAGGCAGTATTCTTACGTTTCCATCTGGTTTCAGTAAGTGGCTGGCCAGTAGGATTTTCGTGACTGTAGGTAACCCTCGTCACGCCGTCACAGTGGAGCGTGGGGTTCTCTGTTCAGACAAATAAAGCTTTTCCACATTCAACATAAGATAATAGGAAATAAAATGTCTATACAAAGGAAGTGAACGAATACTTGAACACTAATGTTTTGATATATACTTACATGTTTGAAGTCAACTCTTAACC